ACAACTTATTAAAATAATAGGTCGCGTATTATTTTTCGATCACAAGTCACAAATTTTTTTATTGGTCACAAATTATTTTTTAGTCACAAATTATCGAATTTTAAGGTCACAATTTAACAATATGTCACATCAATAACTTTTCCTTCTTTTTCAACCACATATTAAATTTTTTTATAGGTCACAAGTTATTTTTTGGCCACGAATTAAAATTTTTTATAGGTCAGAGATTGAAAAAATCAAAACTTTTATTGGTCAAAACTCGATTACAGTGAATCACATTCACAATTTTAATTGGTCACACTTGATTACATGCACAAAATAATCATAGTCACCTCCAACCTCATATAGCCGGCAGGCTCGACACCCACCGCCGCACTTACTCACAAAATAATCACGACCACCAATAATCACAGTCACCAATAATCACACACAAAATAATCACCAATAACCACACACAAAATAATCAGTGTCACCTCCAGTCCCATCTTGTCGGCACGATCGACACCCACCGCCGCACGCGCACGTGCACACCACAACCTCCCAACACTCAACACCACAACCTCACGGCAAAACCACCACCGCACACACCGTCTCCTGAATCCAGATGCAGCACTTCCAACTCTCATTTCACTACCATCACCACTCGTCAACCACAATAGCGCCACCATATTCGCCACATTCAAAACCAAAACACAGATCTCATATCAGATCTAAACAACTATTTGTCCAAAAAAATCCAAAAAAACCCCTGAAATTTGTGACGTTGTGCAGATGCTGATCGGCACTGTGGCTTTTGCAGCGGCAGATGCTTGTCGGCACTGTTGCTAACTCTGGCTCCTGATCCACTGGGGGATGAAGTCAATGTCATTTCGTAATTGGGCTCTCTCATCCATCTCCTTGCACTCAAACTCCTCTTTTCATTTTCGGTAATCGACCACACACCACATCTAATCGTCTAATAGTACTGCGACTTGTAATCGAGGTGGTGTCGCCAGAGAGGTGGTGCCAGCAGTGGTTGTGCTGGTGGTGTGGGGCTGTGTGGTAGCGCCGGGGATAGATAGAGATGAGAGAAAATGGGATGAAATAATTATGGTGGGTTTGGGTTATTATATTATGTAATTATAATATATATAATTATAATGTATCTAATTAAAAAATATTTGATTTTTGAAAATTTAAATTTCAGATTTG